AAAAAAAAAAAAAAAAAGTCTCTTTTAGAGCATGAGCCAAGTAGTTAAAAGAATAGTATTTAATTAGCCTATTTATTGGTGGCATTTTGTGAGTCCTATTAACTTGATTTGGAGTCATTAATTATGCATGGTTTCAAATTAAATCATCTTACCTTACAATAGTAGAAGATTTAGGTTGCTGAACAACAGCATTTATTTTTTTAATTTTTTACGTTGCTGGGGATCAAACCCAGGGCCTTGAACATGCTGGGAAAGCACTCTACCTCTAGCCCCAAGAATAGCCTTGAACTGTTAACATGCTTGCTGTTTTAATAACACAGATATTTGCTAAGCCCTAGCCCTGCAGGCTGATAATTTTTATTCTCCCATTTGGGGAATTCTGTAGGAGATACCAAAAGAAAATCGATATCCTCAAAAAGCAAGTGGAAAAAGCCATGGGGAGTGAAATGTCTGCTCGCCAGAACCTGGCGAATCTTGTTGGGGTAGCAGAGAACATAACACAGGAACGAGACAGTCTTATGTGTTTGGTAAGTTGCCTCAGAGTAATGCAAAATAAACTAAAGTTTATGTGCAAATGTGACTTTAAGAGTATTTCCAAAAACTAATCCATAAAGAACTTCATGTTGAGCAGGGCTGTGGCTCAGTGGTAGAGCGCTTGCCTGGCATGTGTGAGGCACTGGGTTCTATTCTCAGCACCACATATAAATAAATAAAATAAAAATCTAACAACTAATAAAAATATTTTTTTAAAAAAGCCTCTTTCTGGGGCTGGGGTTGTGGCTCAGAAGTAGAGTGCTCGCCTACCATGCGTGAGGCACTGGGTTTGATCCTCAGCACCACAAACAAATAAAATAAAGACATTGTGTCCACCTATAAATAAAAAATATTTTTTTTTAAAAAAAAGCCTCTTTCTGTAAAAGAGCTTCATGTTTTAAAATTTTACCTGCACATTTCCAAATCTCTACAATTTGATCTTTTTAAATTTTTTTTTAATTGTAGTTGGACAGAATACCTTTACTGTATTTATTACTATTTTTTTTTTTATGTGGTACTGAGGATCGAACCCAATGCCTCACATGTGCTAGGCAAGTGCTCCACCACTGAACTACAACCTCAGCCCCAAAATTTGATCTTTTAACCATGAACAAAAACTTTTTTTTAAAGTGAGAGAAGTGAGAGAGAGAGAGAGAGAGAATTTTTTAATATTTATTTTTCAGTTTTCGGTGGACATAACATCTTTATTTTATTTTTATGTGGTGCTGAGGATTGAACCCAGCGCTGGCTCAGGTGAGGCAAGCACATTACCACTTGATCCACATTCCCAGCCCACAAAAACGTTTTAAAATAATGACAATTTTTATTTTAGAAAGCAATTAAGGAGGAACAAGAAGTCATCTCGTGTTTATTATACCTACACAAGTAGCATTATATTATCTTCGTAGTGCTATTATTTTCCCTGTTTGAAGATGAAGCATAGTCATAGGGCTGGAGGTGTAGCTTAATGGTGCATGTGCTTAGTATGGGGGAAGCCCTGGTTCAATCCCCAGCACTGAAGGAAAAAAAAGAATTGGGCTTGGGTTGTGGCTCAGTGGTAGAGCACTTGCCTAGCATGTGTGAGTCATTGGGTTCGATTGTCAGCACCACATATAAATAAATGAATAAAATAAAATA